TTTGAAAACAAGGATGGGAGCAGGTTGGTTTGGTTTGCTAGATGAGATCGTCACTGAAATCTTCTGTTCAACTTAGGTTTTCCACCAAAAAAAAAGGAGAAAAAGGAAAAAGAATAGTAGAATTTGTGAAATGTTTCTTTTTGCAAAGTTTCTTCTAAATCCCCAGTTTTCACAGGCACTGGATTCCATGCTGGTCTTTAAAATACATTTTAATATATTAGTGTGCTAAGTTCCAGGGTCTTTGTCATACTCTGAAAATAAAAACAGCCTGTCTTGGGATGTCAAGTCTCTTGTGCATAAGAATGAAATGGAAATAGCTGCCTTTGCCATATAACTTGTACTTATTTTTATTAGCCGCTTTCAGAATGAATAAATATAGTACACAATAGGAGGAAATATTCTTTAAGACTAGACAGGACTTGAATACTTAATGTAAAAAACCCCAAACAACAAAGACATGCAAGCGAGGGGAAAAATATCCTCCAGCCTATCATAAAGAAGCCAAAAAGTGAAAGGGCACAAGCCCAATTTATTTTTTCTGTTCAGGTCACCTTTAAATACCCTGGAAGGCTCATTGCATGATTCAGTCATTTGGTGATGAAAAAGGTTGTTGGCTAATGAGCCTGTATTGGAATCGCCTTGGGCGCGCGTCTTGCCGCAGTTGTTTTGCAGCTACATTTTCTCTTGTATTATAAAAATGTTGGGCAGGCTTTTGGTTTTAATTTTCTTTAGGAAAATAACATTTTGTCTCTAAGCCTCTGGTACGCAGCATCTGGGTAATAACTCCAAGCTTGGGCTGTGCTGGGATGACAGCACCGTTAGAGCCATGCACGTGCTTGAGAGCCCTGCTGAATCAGGGCCCCGAAATCACTCTGGTCTGGGTGACTGATGGCTGGGATCCTGCAGGTATTTAAAAGGCTACCAGAGAGCTTTATATCCAAACTAACAACTGCTCAGCATGTTGGTGCTGAAAGGGGTTGGTAGTGGGATACCCTGGGATGCCCTGTGGATGAGATCCCAGCCGGAGATGCTGTGGCTGCCCGTGGAGAGGAGGGGCTGCCGTGTGCATAGAGGTGGTTCAAGTAAAGAGCTACTGGGCAAAATCTGCTTTTGCCAAATAAATATGCTCGTCTGCTGGCAGAGCCCAGGTCCCCTGCAGTGTGACAGGGAGGCTCGTTCAGAGCCACAGCTTCCTTTGGTGGCTGGGCTTGTACTTCGTGGGCAGGTGAGGTGGTTTTCATCCATGGATGCTTGAAGCTAAACTGTAGCGTGAAGGCAGAGTGTGTGGCTTAAATTCCCTCTACTATGATTTCTCCTGCTTGGGGATCAGCAAGTCTTATTTTTGGTCTGAGAGCACTCTGTTGCCATCTCCCACGTTCCCTAACAGTGCTCTGGACACAGTTATTACCATCCCATTTGATGGACGTTACTTAAGAGGCCATGCAGGATGCTGCTACCACAGCGGTCCTTCACAAGCAGGACTTTTGGGATGAAATAATCTCTGACATGGCTTAATGCCTGACTGTGCCGGAGTTGTCACAGCCAGGAGGCACCTGTAGTTAATGGCCAGGCTGTGACACCTGCAGAGGGAAGGGTGGGCAGAGGAAGACCCGAGGCACTTGCTCCTGCTGGCATGCCATCCCTCTCTCGTGCTCCTTGCCAAAAGCTCAAGGTGAGGAGTAAATGACAGGCTGTCACAAAGAAGCCATTTGGCCAGCGCTTGCACGGTCCCAGCCAGCCCACAGCTTTTGCAGCAGTGCACAAACGAGCAAGTAGGATGAAATTCAGCTTTCTGCTGAGAGCACGAGGGTTTTTGCGCTGCTGACACCTGCAAATGCAGCAGCTCTTACCGCTCACCCAAGCAATCCCAGCTGGGGCTGTGTTACTGCCGTGGGGTTTGAGTTGTGCCTTGGGTTTGCGTCAGCCCCTCCTGGGAATTGTATCAGCTGGGTTGGGGCCAGGCAGAAATGCAGTCTGTGCACTCCCTGAAGTACTGGGACTTTTCCCTGGGACATTTGTCATCGGAGAGAGCCCACGGTTGGAGGCTTTTATCTGTAGTTTGGAAATGAGTAACTGGTGAAAGAAGAGGAGGGCAGGTTTGCAGGCAGCAAAGCCCCTCAGCAGAGCTGGCATCTAACCCCGGTCCTGTGTCCACATCCCAGGTTCTTGATGAAGCCCTGAAGATTTGCAATTACATCTTCACCGTTATCTTTGTCCTGGAGTCTGTTTTCAAGCTTATCGCCTTTGGGTTTCGTCGCTTCTTCCAAGACAGGTAACAAAAGCTCCACCTTGACCGCGGGGGCAGCAGCAGGTTTCTGGAGACAGCTGCCCAAATTCAGTGTCCTGGACCCCGGTGCTCTCCCCGGTGATGTCACTCTGACACGTGTGAACGCTCTTCGGTGTGACTGATTGAAACCTGGGTAGGTGGAGGCTTGGGATGTGGGTTGGAGAAAGGATTGTGCACGTCGAAGAGTGTGATTGCACCGCTTTGGCCCTTGGGGGGGGACAAAATAGGAGTGAGGCTCACACCGAGCAGCTGGTTCTCTTCTCACACCAGTTGCATGTCCATATAATCAAGAGGACCTGGTGAAGTGACAAAATTTATGCCAAGAGAAAGTCTGGTCCTGAGTGGAAATGAAAGAGAAAAGGGACCTCTCTATAAGCAGATGCTGAGCAGCAGGTGAAATTGCTTCTTTTTCTAGTTTTTCACTCCCTTACCTCACAAACACAGATTTTACGTCCTTGGTGAATCTTTCTCCACCCATTTCTGCCTCCTTCAATGTTAATACCAAGAGCACTGGCACTGAGCAGGACTTGACACGAGCCCTTCAGCAGCTGAGGGATGGTTCTACCCCTCGCCCCATGTTTCGGGTGTCCATGCTGGGATTGCGCCTCCCTCCAACCTGGCATGAATCCGTGGGGCCTTCACTTTGCCCAGTGTGATTTTTGTTGCAAGGACTGGACACGGGGTCCAGCTCTTTCTAGGGCAGATCTCACGCTGAGGTCCACGAGTGTCGTGTCTAGAAGTGGCCGGACAGATACTGCAGCGTCTCCCCTGAGGTCTGCAGCCTCTGGGTAGAAAACTGCCCAGCTTTTGTTTCTGTTTCTCCTCAGTCAAGAATATCTTTGGAATTGGCTGATTTTCTAATGAGATGCATTAGTTATAATGATTTCATAACACAACTGCTTTTGTATAATACCCTCAGAAAAATGCTGCAGATTCATTTGAGTGCTAGAACCATTGAAATGACTGGAATTCGTGTGAAACAAGCTACCTCCCCTTGCCAGCTTCTTAGTAGATGTTAAACTTCATTTTGTGTTGTCTCCAGATGGAACCAATTAGATCTGGCAATCGTGCTGCTGTCTATCATGGGCATCACTTTGGAAGAGATCGAGGTGAACGCTTCGCTACCAATTAACCCCACCATTATCCGAATCATGAGGGTTCTCAGGATTGCTCGAGGTGAGATGAATAAAGCAGAATTTACTTGTGTTTGAGGTGCAGGGTCCCCTCCAGGAGAGAGTTAAGCGTTGGGAAACGGTTCTGGGGCACATCCCCATCATGATGTGCATAGTTCTGGCATCAACAGGCTGTAAACAAATAAAAGAACAATGGGGGGAAATACTTGCGAGGAGCCAAAAAGCTGAGCCAGCTGACCATGTGTTTCTATCTTAAGAGGATTTGAAGGCTGAGAGCTTAGAAATAAAGGAGAAATAGCTGTGGCTTGTAACTCCCAGAGATGTACCTGGAAAAAATATGCCAGTCAAATCAAAGTCATCTCTAACGGAGATTAGAGAACACAAGCTCGAGGATGTTGGCTTTAAAAGACAAGCATCTAATAAATTTAATTTCCCATGGGACTTTACATCTCACCACTTGATGACAAAGCATGCCTCATCACTCTGCATCCATCTGTCCCCTCAGACTTGTAATGACACTGTAAAGCCAGCTTCTTCAGGGCCTGATTTTTCAGAACAGGGAGGTCTCGGGGCCAAATGATGAAGATGTAAAACGTGAGTGCTCAGGCCCTTAATAAAGTACTCCCAGGCCCTCCTGAAGGGCAACGTTGTGCTCTGAGGCATAATTGCTATAATTGCAGCTCTCATCTAAGCAAAGAAGGAACCGGAGGAGAAATGAAATGGTGCTGTGTCTCAAGGGGGAAAAAAAAGTGTTTTTCCCGTGCATTGGATCCCTTTCAGAATTAAAAATACATGTGTTTTCCAAGTGGAAATGCAACCTTCTGGAAGAGATGTGTAAATCAGCTCCTCAGTGAATCATGTATGAAAGCGGGTAGCCTATGGAAGTGGGAAAGTAGCCCCAGGGCTAAGAAAGTAACTGCTCACGATAACCAGAGGAGGAGGGAGATGGGTCCAACATGGATAAGGTGGGGAAAGGAAAAGCCAGGCAGAAGGATAACGTTTTCTCTAAGTCTCAGGATAGGTGATGCTGCTATTCACGGGATTTTAATAGTATCCAAGCAACCAGGAGTGATGTAAAAAGGCCAGGGACTATAGCAGCTAATGGAGAACACTTGACATGATTTCACATTTCCCTGCCTATAATCTGTGGCTCCTGGGAGAGGGACTGAGTTTGTGCCTCCGTGCTAACGCTGCCGTTACCATAATATGAACGTGTTTTCTGCAGTGTTGAAGTTGCTGAAGATGGCTGTAGGGATGAGAGCCCTGTTGGACACCGTGATGCAAGCGCTGCCGCAGGTAACCCACTGCCGTATCAAACCAGATCTCCTCTGGCCCAGAGCTAATTTCCTACTGCAGAGGAATGCTAATCATTTTATCTTTACTGTCATTAGAGAATCACATTTCCCTTCCGAAGCACAGTCTGAGATACAGTCCTTACATTGAGGTCATTTTTCCCCTGAAGCAATTTAAGTTTTGGATTAAAGAATACAGCAAGAAACAGGTCTGGAACAAAAAAATCAATGAATGTTCTTTTTTTGTGTTTTTTTCCCCCATTTCTTTTTCTCTTTCCAGGTGGGGAATCTGGGTCTTCTCTTCATGTTGTTGTTTTTCATATTTGCAGCTCTTGGAGTGGAGCTGTTTGGAGACCTTGGTGAGTCTTCCCGTGCCGGTGGAAGGGGTGGGAGCGGTGCACGAGCAGGGGTCTCATGGCTGTGCTTGGTCCCACAGAGTGCGACGACACACACCCCTGTGAGGGGCTGGGACGGCACGCCACCTTCAGAAACTTTGGGATGGCCTTTCTGACTCTCTTCCGAGTATCCACGGGAGACAACTGGAATGGGATAATGAAGGTAAGAGACCCACGGAAAATGAGTATTGCCTATAATTGCTTAATTAGAAGCCATCCACTCTGCTCCAGACCGGTAACGATGCTCAGCCAGGACGCTCACATCCTGCAGTGAGCTGGTCTCTTCATTCGTGCACTGGGCAAAGTCTCTAATTCTGTTCCCTCCTCCCAACAATGCAGTGCCTGTGATTGCAGGCTCCTGGCATACTCCATATATTCCCTTTTTTTAACCTAAGAGAGCGACTTAAAAAGAAGGGGAAAAAATAAAGGGACTCATCTCTCAAGTAAAACATGAGTTCAGCTCAGTAACGTGTGTTAGTTTTATTTTTTCCTTAGAAGTCTCCAGTTACTATTGTTATTGTTGTTGGTATTACTTTGGGGTTTTTTTCTGGGAAAACCCAGGTTTCTGAGAGAGAGTCTCTCTGAGGGGACAGCCATAAAGGCACACTATTGTGAAGAAATCTGGTCTATGAATACACAGGGTGCTAGCTAGTCCGAAGGAATCACTTCTCTGTCCATTTGTAGCCTATGGTGAGTGCTAGGTGGCCAAAATCTTAATGACAGGGTGCGAACTTGA